AGACCTTTCCACCAATCTTGAACCTTTCCTTACAAGTCTTTTTTTAGGTGTTACAAAAAACATGGTCAATATGACATTGGAAGGGGTCAGACAGATGGTGAAGAGTCAAAACAATTGCAGTTCTTTCAGCTCTTGATGAATCCATTAGGAGAAGGTTACAAAATGTTATAATTGAGACGGATTCACTAAGTCTCAAGAAGATTATTCTAAAAACCTGGAGGATACCTTGGGAAATAATAGATAAGTTAGAGAAAATAAGAGAATTACTTTAGAAGGCTAGAGCAACAATTACACATATCTTCAGAGAATGTAATTGCTAGTTTTTTTACTTGGCTAATATAGTCATTGACTCGCAAACAAATCATGAGTATCACGATTGGCAAAAGCTCCCTTTGGTGGAAAGAATGATCCCAATTCAAACAAATTACAGCTTCCAAACTATAGGATCAAGACTCGCTGAATCACCCATAATGATACATAAATTAAAGCAGAAGGAGCAGACACGAGACATCAGATAATACATGCTAAACAAGATGCAAAACATTATTAGAAGGTTGCATACACCGAAGCAGCTAATCAGGAGGATAAAAGTAATAAGATGATTTATTTTGCCAAATATTACAAATCAACTGTCAATTATATTCACTAGCCTTCCAATGATTAACAAATCTTATAATCCACCTGCAAAACTCCAGGCCAAGTTGATATCCTAGTAAGATAAACTTCAATGCAAATGAGGCTAGGCTACATTTAAAACTTGTTATGCCAATTGATATTGAAGATGAAAAAAATTTAAATAAAAAGGATAGGAACAAAATTCAAAAATGAAATGTTCATGTCATAAGCTTGATGAGTTGATCAATTCCTCTACCCCATTTCTCCCCCCTTCTCCTTATCCTTCTTCTTCGAGAACCAAGGTTCAACCTTCATGGCATAGATGAACAAGATAGTTATACTATGGAAACAATTGTTTAGGAAAATTTTCAAGACACAACAAATAATAAGACCGCAAAGGAGGTTCAAATGATTAAATTTAGGGGATCCTTTAAAAATGGCTATAATTTGGACTTAATTAGAGATCTATACCTATAATTTGTTTAATTACAATTTATAACTACATGTTAGGGGGAGGAGAGACGCGAGCGAGAGTAGGAGAGGGAAGAGAGAGGAGAGCGAAATCTGGAAGAGAGAGGAGAGATGTTGAATACATGTTGTATTCGTTGTATTAGGTTGTATCACAAAGACAATTGATACAACTTATTCAGATAAATATATTTTATGAGGAAAGAGGTGAGTGAGACCGAGAGAGGATGAATACATGTTGTAATTTTTGTATCACAAATACAATTGTTACAAAACACAACACAATTGACACAAATATAAATAGAATTGTATGAATACAATTTATTTGTACCATATATAGAATATAATTATATTGACGAACATAATTTGTGTCAACGAATACAATTGTCCTAATACAAATTGTCATAATACAATTGATATAGCATACATATACAATTGATACATAATACAAAATCAGTTGATATGGAATAAGAATACATTTGATACATAATACAAACTACAATTGTCATATTTATGTGGAATGCATGTTTTTTAGGCCGGAGAGAAAGAGGGGCGAGATAGACGAGAGAGAGGGAGAGGGGAAAGAAATTTATCATAAAACCCTAAATATAGCTATAATATATAATTTTTTACACTATAGTGACTAAACCAAGGTCGTCTTAACCACTAGACTACTAAAGCCATCGCTTGGGGTCCCATGTTTTTTTTAAAAAAAATATTTACATAAAAAAATATATGTACTTTTAATTTATTTTTAAAAAAAATAAGAAATATGAGAAAATGATCGTTAATTTCCCACTTTTTGAGTGAATGAAATATCTTTTGGGAATAATTTCCTTAAATGGGAAATTGTGTTTTCTTATTTATCTCCTAAAAGTTTAACCTTGTTTACCTTATACTCATATTTTTTAGGATAAATGACCTATATACACATATTTATTTTTCATAATTTCTTTTATTTTCCTAACATTTAAAAATATCTCCAAAATTCTTTTTTTTCTTCTAAACCTCATTGATCCGGATACATAATGTTGTTCAAGTTTATCTTCCTATTTTTACTCCTTATTTCACTCCCTCACATCTTTTCCTATTTTCATTCACTTAATTTTTCCTATTTTCATTACCTCAATCTTTACTTCATTTTTTTTAAATTTCAGATTTGTTCTCTCTCCTTTCTTTTTTTTTTTAAAAAAAAACATATTCTCTCTCCTTTTAGTAAGATCACTCCACAACTTTTTACGAAGACCCAAGTAAGTCTTCGCTCCACAATTTTTCCTAAAAAACTATCGGATCTCCTCCCTTTTCCCCTTGACAAAATGCATCATGGAAAGGTGAAAGAGATGATGTATCCGCATTGCTCCTTACAATAAAATCTTTCCAAGGGATCCTCTTTTGCTGGTGAAACTACATTATGAAATGGAAAGAAGTAGTCTCTACCAAATGTATCATTTTATCATGTATCAAGTGTTGTTATGTATCTTCTACTATTACTCAAATTTAGAAGAATATATATCTGTACAAAATACCAAATTATATTCATGATACATTTGTGAACGGAGAAGTCGAGGAAGGACATATACTCAAGCTTTAAATATACTGTTAAAAAATGGCTAAAAAGAGGGAAAAAGTTGGATCTACTATTACATGACTATCACCATAAAAGATACATATTTTCAATATTTCTCATTTATTTTGATTCTTAACTTACCCTTTATTAGTATCATCACTGAATTGATACATCAACGTCACAATAGCCTTTGTTTTATGCAATGTATCATATTCGTATTTAAGGTGTTGATATATAACCCTAATGTTATTGATATTCTATTAGTTTTATCATGTTCAATATAAATGTTATTGATACATAAGCACTACATAATGTATTATTAATTACATGCATCAAGTTCTTTATGTATCATCATTCTTATTCAAATTTGAAAGGTTATAAAGACAAAAATAATTCAGTTGTGTGTTATGTATACTCTTTTATTGTCCAATCTTACCCAACTTATAATAGGATGTATAGGTACATCTTACCCAATAATAATTTTGAATTATAAATTGTAATATTCTATAACTAGATCATTGTGTACCAAATCTAATAATAGATATATGATGCATATTCATTATTTGGCAAACTAAAACTGCATGTATATGATACTTAATAACAACCACACAGTAATGTGTCGATCTAAAATTTTTACTTCTCTAATGTATTAGATAGGATAACAGTACTTAGCCATTTACTAATTATTTTATTAATAGTTATATATCATGAGTAATATACTCTTCTTGTCCACAATGTATCTTGTCTAATTGAAATGTACCACAATTACATATTTTTCGTTATGGCAAACAATGTATCTTCTTCATACATCAAAACTAACACATAGCGATATAATTTTATAACAATCTTATAATATGGTTACCAAAAAAAGAACATTTGAAATTGTGATTCTTTTGTCCAATCATCTACAATGGAGGATTTGATATTCAAGATTTCGAATTGATAGAGAGATAAAAATTTAATTTTTGAATTTTGTGAAGTTGTTACAGATTGTAATGGAATGATATCAATCCGTCTGCGTAATTTGTGGGAAAAGAAACCAGTTATGCTTGATTTGTGGGAAAGAAAATCAATTTACATTAATATTTCATATTAAGCGCAACATGCCAGTTTATAATGTATCATATATAATGTCTTCGAAGGAAACTTATATATCTGGATGTCTGATTTGTAAGGGATTTTTTATAAAATAGAAAAAAGTAGGGATAGAATGCAATTTAGGTTCTTATACTATGTGATTTAAGTAAGTTGTACTATTTTTTATTCTCTATTTTATTATTTTCATTCTCAATATTGAACTCTCTCCTATAAATTTTTTTGTTTTACTGTTGTTTACAAGTTACAAAAGGTCAAAATTTGTTTTTGAATGTCTTCTTCAATATCTCAAGATATGAACCAAACAATCATTATATTGAAGAAACACAACATTATATCGAAATTGTTCTATCAGCTTATCAAATTCATGAGTCAGGTTTCATTATTCTAACTTTATTTTATAATTTTTCGTAAAAATATGTTATTATTGATATTCTTAGTTTATATATATATATATATATATATATACATACACACACATGTTCTTGTTTTAGTTATTTTTAAAATTATTCAATTTCAATATCTCAACTAGAAAATATTATTTCGATTTGACAAAAAAAAAAGAGAAAAACAGAAAATATAATGAATTAAATTAATCCCGAAAAGGAGCCCTTGGTAGATTTTTAACAAAAAATAAAAATTCTGAATAAAAAAGTATTGCTTATAGAATAATGTTAACAATTTCTATAATTGTTGTTTCAGCCGAAAGAAATTTTTCAAAATTATTATTGATAAAATCTTATCTAAGATCAACAATATCTCAAAATAGATTGAATAGATTAACTACATTATCAATTGAAAGGAATTATTAAAACATATCAATTATGAAACAATAATTAATAGCTTAGCATCTAAAAAGGCTAGAAAAGTAGATTTTAAATAGAAGTATATATTATAATTTTTTTTAAAAAAATAATTTCAAAAAAAATTAGAATTTGACTTTAGACCCTAATCATGTTTAGTCGGTCCTGAATTTAACATAGCACATATTTTTCTTGTCATGATTAAAAATAATAAAAATAAAAAAATCTAAATAAATTATATCTCAACGGAAAATAATGGTCATAATATAGTGTAAGACTTATAGTAACCATATTCAATTACATATATTTTGATTATTTTCAAACCCCTCATTCTTTCCAAAGTCCAAAATTTAATCATTTTAATATAAAATAAAATAAAATACTATAAATTGGAGACATTTTGTGAAATTAAATGATAAATATTTATGTTAAAAAAGAAATAGAGATAATTTACAATTTTTTGTCATGATGTTCAACACAAATTAATGTCCACAGGCGGAAGACATGTGTTGACAATACCAAAGAACCACTTGTATATATAATCAGACTACACATTACACTTCTCTTGTCCAAAATCAACAAATTTTCCAGCAATTTCTTAGCAAAAGGTAATCATTTTTCTGTGTGTTTTTCTTCTATTCTGCACTTTTTACCCTCTTGATCAGATTTAGATCAACCCCATTTTGTATTTTGTTATAAAGTTGAAGTTTGAATATAAAGTTGTCTGCTTTGTACATCAGTCTTGAATCTTGATTTCCCAAAATGTTATATTTTACCTTTTTGTGTACTTATCAATTGATCTGATCAGATCGTTAGTTTATCTTGTTCTTGATTCATCTGAATGTGTTTGAATATCTGTTTTGACTGTCAGATTTGTATGTATACTTTTAGTTGACTTGTTTATGATGCAAGTATTTTCTCAAGTTGATTAAAGCTTTATGTGTTCTTCTTATAGCATTACTTGTTAGACAACTCTGTTCAGGTTAGGACAGATAGGAAAAATATCTAGGGTTTTTTTTGTCTCTGTTGGGATTTGAACAAAATAGACTTGTTCTCTATTGGTTGTATTAGGGTTTCAAAGGTGATTGTGAATGGTATTTAGTTGTTGCATTTTATCTCTTAAAGATTTGATTTTGGGTTTGGATGTTTGGATTCTTGAATGTATTATCAAGATTCAACAGTTGATGAGCTCAATTTCACTTAATTCTACCTAATTTGTTTTATGGCTTTGATCTTGTGTTCTCAACTCATCCCATCAAACTACCTGAACTAGTGAAATTCACGGGGCGGCCTGTTTCGCCGCCTAGTAACTTGTTCCTGCCATTTTAAAATTTTTGTCCATATAACACTAGAGACATGTGGTGTCTGTAGTGAAGGCTTGACAAATCAAATGACACTATGCCTGAAATATAATAGTTTTTGTGGACTTCAGTCATTTTTACCTTACTTCAGCCGTTTTTATCAGAACTTTATGTACATTTAGATGAAGTTCAAGCAAAAATAGCTGAAGTCCGCCACAAAATTGGTAAAAGTTCAAGCAAAAATGACTGACACAATATCTTATGTTTAGACTTCGTATTGAAGTTATCCCGAAGTGAGTACACGTGCAAAAAATTTACAAGGAGAGCAGAAGTTAAATGTCAGCGTCAAAATTCGGTATCCGTGCACTTTATTCTTGAACTATCAAGTTACCATTTTTTTCTCAAGGCACACTCGCGGTTCGTTGAGCCACCTCCCCTAAAAAAAGCAAAAAAAAAGGGAAAGAAACTTCCAGGTTCACCTTTAAACATAGGAATCTTGGCGTAGAGGGCCAACTCAATTGGAGAGCACCCTACCTTTCACATGTTAGGAAAGATATTTATATCACATTGGTTGCATTTAGATTGGATCTCAGTCTTCATCCTTTGAGGCGCATTGCTATGCAAAAAGAGAAGGAGAAAAGAACTAAATTACAATGTAGAGCATTCTAGAGAAAGAGGTCCTATCTACTCTGGCTTATGTCATAGTGGTCCTTGGCTATTCTACCAACTATCTGAAGTTTTGGATGAAATATTCAGTTTCTCACTACTGGCACTGGTAGTTGCACAAGCAGTACACTTTTTGTCATCCACACCATATGTATGAAAATATTATTCAAGTATGATTTAAAGATGTATTATGCAGTGCATTTGATATCGAAATGCTTCTCATTATTTTTGTAGCAACCTCTGAAAAGAACTATAAACGTACTTTCTGTTCGGAGTGCTCAGTTATGTAACACGTTGAACACCCTTTTGTTGCTTGCTAGTATATTTGTGTCACTTGAATACCTGTTGTTAGTCTACTATGCAAGACATTGAATATTCTTTCTTTTGTTGCTTCTAAGGTATGTCGTCTTCGGAAAATCCAGAGATTGTCGAAAGGGTTTTCAAGGACAAAGACGAGGAGGAGAAAGATGAGCAAAAGGGCAGTTTTATTGATAAAGTTAAGGGCTTCATCCAGGATATTGGTGAGAAAATCGAGGAAACAGTAGGTTTTGGAAAACCAACTGCAGATGTCTCTGGAATTCATATTCCTCATATCAATCTTGAAAAGGCTGAAATAGTTGTTGATGTGCTTGTGAAGAACCCAAACCCCATCCCAATTCCTCTCATTGACATAAACTACTTAATTGAGAGTGATGGAAGGGAACTGCTTTCTGGATTGATCCCTGATGCTGGAACGATCCATGCACATGGTTCAGAGACCGTCAAAATACCACTTAATCTGGTTTATGATGACATCAGAACTACATACCACGATATAAAGCCGGGAAGCATCATTCCATATAAGATCAAGGTTGACCTCATAGTTGATGTGCCTGTTTTTGGTAGGATAACTATTCCTCTTGAAAAAAATGGAGAGATTCCTATACCTTACAAGCCTGATATTGATGTTGAGAAAATTCATTTTGAGAGGTTCTCTTTCGAGGAAACTGTAGCAGTTCTTAAGTTAAAGCTGGATAACAAGAACGACTTTGATCTGGGGCTCAATAGCCTTGATTATGATCTTTGGCTCTCCGATGTGAATGTTGGTGGTGCAGAGCTTGAGAAATCAGCTACACTTGCAAAAAATGGAATCACCTATATCGATCTTCCAATAACCTTCAGGCCCAAGGACTTCGGCTCTGCTCTATGGGACATGATCAGAGGGAGAGGTACTGGCTATTCCATGAAAGGCAACATTAATGTGGACACACCCTTTGGAGCAATGAAGTTGCCCATTAGCAAGGAGGGGGGTACAACCAATCTCAAGAAAAACAAAGAAGACGGGGGAGACGATGATGAAGATGAGGTATGCTATCTGTTCCACTTTAATAATCTCTAGTATTGCTCGTTTATTTCACTTGAAGTAACAGTTTTCTGAAACTCATCATAGTCCTTCAGTCACCTAGTTCCTCATTGTGACTGACTTTACCTATCATTATGTATTTTATTTACTGAATTTTGTTTCCTCAAGTAATGGCTGGGTGAATGGTGAATGGCATCTCCTATGTATCTCAAGTTCAACTATTGGGTCATGTTGGTTATTCGTTATGCATACACAGATAAATCTTAAATGATCCGTATTTTCTCAAGTAGAGTTAAACTTGAGGTTCGCTGTGTTGAAGGCTAGTCTAACTGCTAACTGTCCAGTCTGTACCATGATGCTATCAAACTATTGAATGTAGTTGTTTTTTTATCTTCACATTGGCTCGCAGCATAGTCTCGATACGAGGAACCTCTTGCTAGTCTACACTTTCTCTTGCGAAACTTAGTTTTCGTCTCTAGTGCATAGTTTTCGTATGTATATTCTCTCTTGTCCTCTGTGTTTCCTTTTAACCCCTTGGCTGTACAAACATGTAACAGTGATAACACTCTGTTCTTCCATTCACAGGATTGAAGTTGGAGATCGATTTCGCAAGAGCGACGATTTTTATAGCGAAAATGCCATCTGCTGGTGGGGATTTTTAGACAAATAAATACAAACTTTTACTTGGATGTGAAATATGTCTACTTAGATGTGTCTCTGCCTGTGTAACTTTTTGTGCTGAATTGTTTGCTGTTATTGCTGTGGTTGATATACTATACTGCAACTAGCTATTGCAATTGTAATGTTGTTGCATTTCTTGTATGTTCTAATTCCTATCTTATGACTAATGGTTTATGTCTTATGTAATGTATCATACAAATTGCCTCGTACGATGGGTGTATTTGTTCAACCTTATCCGATAAGAATATTGAGTAACTTTTCCTTGCACCCACAAATTAATGACTGTAAACTTTAATTTTATTCATATATCTGATAATTTAATACTAATAAGCTATTAAGTCAATTTTATGATTGGTTATTGATTACAATTTAATTTTGAATAGTCCTTTCAGCCCCGAAGTTTGTGTATGCATAAGAAATAATTAACAAAAAGAACTTCATGTCTTGGAGATCATAACAAACATGTATAACATTCATACATATTTTTCTGCCTTAAGTGAAAAATTCAAATTCAAAGAATTCAGGAAGGTTCTTTTTTCCTACTCACAAAATGTGTTGAAAGGTAAGTTTTCCAACTGGATTATCACTCAAAAGTTAGTGAAATATATGAATTCTGTCAACGTGGCAAAATAGTTAAAAAATTAATATTAGGTTAAAACTATCATCGTATCATATTTGAAAGGGAAGAATTTAGGATTTTAAAGAGGTCAACTAAAAATATATTAAATGAATTAATGCGTCAACGAGTAAATTGTTATATATGTCATATTGATAAAGATTTTATGAACAAACGCGCCTAGAATTATGTTTAGACAAACATTTGGTCTAGTTAGTGATCGCTCAAATAGGAAATTCACATTCTCATAGTTCAAGTAAAAAACTCTGATTCTCAATAGTTTAAATACGAAACCCAATAAGGAGGGACAGTTCAAGTGTATTATTGACTCTTAACTCTAATACATAATTTAAAATAAAAATAATGTGTCAGCCAATATAGTCATGATATATGTTACATGAGTAAAAATTTCATGGACAAATGCATCTAGAAGTGCTTGTAGATAAATATTGATCTAGTCGGTGTTTCTAGAAGTGCTTGTAGATAAATATTGATCTAGTCGGTGTTTCTAGAAGTGCTTGTAGATAAATATTGATCTAGTCGGTGTTTACGTGTGTTTCTCTAACCATTGGGTGATACTTCAGGTACAAAACTCACATTTTTATGCTTTAGGCATGAGACAAAATTAACAACGGTGATAATTTATATGTGTTTTTGATCCTCAACTCTAAGTCTTTTATTAAATGTGTATGTAACATATCTTATTGATTGTACTTCAGAATTCCAAATTTTATTTAATATTACACAAAAGCCATGTGTTTTATGTCCTCATTTATGTGATATATTTTTCTTTTTAGTCTGTTAAAAAACAGAAATATTTTTATATTTAATAGACGTTTAGAAATGTCATTTTATGTCATGAGATGAAATCATCATTTAAACAAGATATGAAGTCTCAGATTGTCCAAAACCTTGATATGAGGATTTCATATCATAACATCACATTTATCAACTACAAAGTTTGACTCATAAATTTATATTTTACAGGGGAAATAGACCTCCATTTATTCTACCAACTATTTATTTTATATGTAAATAAAATGTATAGTTGATAATAATACTCTTACCAATCTTCACATAATTTATATTGGTTATACCATTACGCTCACCTATCAAACTTTTAGTTGATATTATTATTCTTACCAACATTAAAATCATTTATTGGATCTAACCATCATACTCACGAACCAAATTTATATTCCGTCATATTTTACGTGACATTATTTTATTTTTAGTCTATTTAAAAAAGAATGTCAATTTGTTGTAGTTACAAACATTTTAACTTTAAACTTCTCATTTTACCTTTAGATTTTAATGAAATGATTTTCAGTCACACAAATATTTATGGATTGTCTTAGACCACAAGTTCGAAAAGTCTTTCGTTTTTCTTAAATTTCTTGTCAAGTTACACGATGCCACATAAAATGAAATGTAGAAAGCAGTTTGATATAATGGGAAAATACATCAAATCCCCCTTGAATTTGGCACGAAAACTCGTTTTAGTACTTAAACTACATGGGTAACTATTTAGCCCCCTAATCTCTTTTCAGGTGAATTAAAATACACTCTAATATAATAATGCCAGTCTCACAATGACAAGTGCATTTCACACGCCCATATCATCGATACGTCAGCGCTACATCAGTGTCACGTCATTGCCACATCAACATCCCATTCAACATATTTTATTTGAATTTTTAATTCTTTTTTGTTTCTTTTTATTTGCTCACAATTTTAGAAAGTAAAAAAAACTCAAAAATAAGAACTAATATAAGAAAAATAATCTAAAAAAATCAATTGAAAGAGATTTAAATCCTCAAAACCATTCTCACAAGAACATTCAATTTTTAAGACACAAAATTAAAACAAATAAACAATAACTACTAAAAATTTAATTTGAAATGAAAATTTGTAGAGTTTCATTGAAAATAACTTCAAGTTCATCACATTCAAATTTTGCCATAAATACTAATATTAATTTGAAGCAAGAACAAATTGATGACTTTCAATTTTTTCTTGTTCATCACATTTTTTCAATTTATTGATAGAAATTAAAGAAAATGAGAGTGGGATGAATCAGTCTTGAATAAGGAGAAAAATATGAAAAGTATAACAAAGAAAAGAAGAAAAGATTGGAAGACAAATAAATAGGGTAGGAGTGGGGGTTCGTTGGGGGGGTGTCGAAAAAGAAGAAAGGGTAGTGCAAGTGGTGGTTGAGGGTGGGAGAGGTGGATTTGGTGTGAGGAAGATGAAAGGACGGGAAGTGGGGGTGGAGGTGGGGGTACTAAAGGTTGGGGGTGGTAGGGTATGAAGAAGATGAAGAAAAAAAAGGATTATTGGATAAAATGAAAATAATTGGGGTCCACTCATTCTTTTTTTCCTTACTTTTTTATCTTTACACGCCTCATTTTTTTTACTTGCCATATCAGCGATTTGAGTGTATTTAATTCACTTGAGAAGAGATTAGGGGGGTAAATAATTACCCGTGTAGTTTAAGTACTAAAACGAATTTTTATGCCAAGTTCAGGAGAAACTTTATGTATTTTCCCATTTTTACTCTTACCAACTTTAAACCATTCAAATAGAGAAATGAATGCTCAATGTGAGGAGATTGTATTATTTGGAATGATTATATCAAAGAGTAGTATACACTACAACTCATGTTTCATTTAATTTTTTATAGAATTAAAGTTCGATTAATAAATGTTGTATTTTTTAAAATAGCTTTGTGATATTGCATTATACTTTTGTTATGTACTTTTGCTTATTTGGTGAAATTGCACAAAAACTAGAGCAATTCTGATAGTTTTCACAACCTATGAAATTTTATATTTATGAGGAAAAAAGCATAACTTAAAATCGAAATGACATGTCAAAACAAAATTTTAACTTCATATCATAATTTCTTCTCACATCCCCAAGTGGGCCCTTAATAATAATTTAAACCTTAAAATATTATTTTCTTCCTTAATGAAGTGATTTATGAGCACACAAATTCTAAAAGTCTTCCGTACACTCATTTTAATGTTGTTACATATTGTTTCATAATGTATTATATGTAATACTCCCTCCATTTTTTTTTAAAAAAAATGATCTAAATAAGACTTGTTAATCTTGTGGTTCTAAGTATGTGTTTGGTCATAAGGTATCATATCACAATACGGTATCGTGAGATGGAATCAGCGTTTGGACATGCGATTTCACGCTGATTCCATCTCATGATTCCATATCATAAGATATGATTTCATATTTTCCAAAAAGCATGATATGGAAATAATGGTGATTCCATATCATGATTTGAGATTATTTAATATAAAAATTGATCCACAAGTTTATATTTGGTTAAAAAAACCCACATTTATATCTACTAACCCTTTATTTCATATGTAAATTAATTTATAATCACATAATTACTTTTTAAAATTTATTATTCTCACCAACATATAGTCACTTTAACTCACACCAACTGATTGTTAAAGTGATGAAGTATTTATGGTCTATACACATGAAAATATAGTTGCGGATGATATTGACCAACAAATGGCTCAAAGTAACAATGTTGGTTCGTCTTCTCAGTTACATGATCAAGAAATGCAAGTTCAACTTGAAGAAATTGTTCGTACTATGTGGACGGATTATATTAAAAACTAGTACACTACAATTTATGTTCAATTTTTTTAAAGTTAAATTCAAGCTAGATGAAACAATTACTTAAGTGTAGAATAAATGCCTTTGTAATGATTTATTACGTAATTTTATAATTTTTTATTTGATAAGATTGAATAAACAATTGGGGTTATTTTAATAATTTTATAACTTATGGGATTTTTATGTTTATGAGAAAATACATAACACAAAAGTTTCATATCGTTGTCCAAACAAAACTTCAATTTCATCTTATGATTTCATATCATGATTCTGTGTCATGATACCATATCGCATTGCCAAAAGGCCCTAAATTAAAATTATATCAAATGTAACAAAAAGTTCTTTAATCTTGTAACTTTAACACATGCCGAGTAGAAAGTTAAAATGCAATTATTGTCAACAAAGGAAAAGGGTTAATCTTTTTTGAAACATACTAAAAAGGAAAAAAATTATTCTTTTTTGACATACTAAAAAAAGGAAGTTGGACTTTTTTTTTTGAAACAGACAAACTATATAATGATTATAATATTTGAATAAATTGTATCATTATTTTGAATAATGTCATACATCTATAATTTAAATGATAAACCTATAAGACAGAGAAGAGGTACACCTACAAGAAAAACAAGAGGTAGAACTATTATGAAATGGTAAATTAGAGAATACAACAATATGATTATTAAATAATAAATAACAATAAAATGAAAAAAAGTATTAAGGTAACAATGTGATTATACCAAATCAATCTTTACACAAAAGGAATCTTTTTGTTGTTTCCTAACAATGGATTTAAACGATATGATATAATAAAATTTAGGCATAATATATAAATATGACGTTTAGGTTTGCACAAATAGACACTTAACCTTGTATAAAATTGAACAAATATACGCATCCTTATGTGGCGTCCTACATGAAAACTTTGTGTCATATATGTATTATGTGGCGTAGGACGTGTGTCTCAACTTAT